AAAAAAAATTGACATATGTTCTCCCTCATATGTGGATCCTAGGATCAGACTCTGATAAATATGTATGCAAACAGACATAACTGCAGGAACCAGGACAAGGGTAAGGAAACAGTGAGGTAAAGGAAAAGAAATAACCTGAAGGAGAAGAACAGTAGGTAACAGGCCTTTATAAGGGAGATATCTATAAAAAATGGGTTAGTCTAAGGGAGGGGGGTGGGAAGAGTATATGAGGAACCTAGGGGATAAGGAGAAAGAAGAAGCTTAACAGAGGTAGGATCATAGGAGCAAGAGTATTAGTAAGGAAGAAAGGGGGGGAAGTGGGGGCACCTTAAGTGGGAAAACCATGATAGAGGGGTGAGACGATACAAGAGAGAAACAATGCCTAGCTAGTCACGAAAACCAGAGGGAACCATATTATTCCTACAATCTATGTACTAATTATACATAGCAGACCAAGAAAAATATCTCTAGATATGGTTTATTCGAGACCAACTTGTCATTACCCAAGACTTATCTGCATGACACACAGTAATTAAAAATGCCAGGATGGTAGAACTAACCTTCTTGGATGTTTAACAGATATACCTTGAGATCTATACTAATTGGGTCAGAGGGACACAAAGGACACTTTTTGTTCCTTGCCCTCCTAGGTCGATTAGTTCCCAGGGACTATGAGCATCTCGCAAAATGTCCTGTAAAGGTGGTGGGTCATCTGACCTCTTGATCAAGGGAGCTAAGGAGACCCCACCAGATGGACTTGAACCAGTGTCCAGTCTGTAAAGAGGAGGGTCAACACGGAGGAATCATTTCCTCCTTGCTTCCAAGAGAAGCCAACAATGGTCGAGCAGGACCTTTGACTTATCTTCACAGAGATGGAACTGGTAAAAGAAAGGAGCCAGGGGCTCCTCCCAAGCCCATGGGACCCCTGAGGAACAGATCCTCAAATGACCTCAAGAGTAAAAACAAATCAGTTTATCTGGTCCAATTGTATGTCCTTAAACACCCAAAAGGGAAGTATAACCAAAGATTAAAGGGGCCAATATAATTTCATAAGAGCATACATATATATAGGTAAAGTTACTTGACAAACAGCACAGCCAGACAGGTGATACCTTCAGCCGAGCTGTTGGTCAGGATGGATAAAAGCTCTTCCAGATAGTAACCCAACACACTACTGGAAAAATGAACAGCAGACCCCAATTCTATCCAAAGGAATACTGACAATGGATTGCCGTAGATGAGGAACAGCTGATCCTCCTGGATCACGGACCTCTGGCTGACTAGATTTACCAGAAGGGCA